CACACACACACACACACACACACACACACACACGTCTGGTTTGCTACCCTTGTGGGGACTCTCCATAGGCATAACGGTTTTTGTACTGTACAGACCGTATATTCTATTGCCCTACACCAACCCTACCCCTAAACCTACCCCTCACAGGAAACTTTCTGCATTTTTAGATTTTCAAAAAACTTCATTCTGTGTTATTTATTAGGTTGTTTACCTGTAGGGACCTCATTTTAGGTCCCTAAACACCAACCCTACCCCTAAACCTACCCCTCACAGGAGACTTTCTGCATTTTTAGATTTTCAAAAAACTTCATTCTGTGTGATTTATTAGGTTGTTTACCTGTAGGGACCTCATTTTAGGTCCCTAACGTGACATGAGTCCCCATGAGTCTGTGTGTGTATTCAGGTTTAAGTCCCCACCAGAATAGAAAAACAGGTACACACACACACACACACACACACACACACACACATAATTTTATGTGCATTATATATTTATAAAATTAATGTTTAATTGTAAATAAATTACAGCATTTAATTTTATATACGGAAACATTTATAACATCTGAAACAATGGAGCTTTAGTGCTTTTGATAAAGTAATAATAAAAAATATATAGTGTATTTTATATGTAATTATGCATAAATTATAGCATATTATATATTGACAAACCATCAACAAAATTACTAGTAAAGATTACGTGGTGTTTTAGAAAATAAGGCCCAGTTATGGATCGATAAAGAAATATGTAATTAGTTTCTTTGTAATAATACTGATGTGCATCTGTAAATTTCCATCAAGTGCATCTGCTGGAACTGGTTTGTGTGTAGTAAGTCTGTTGTGATCTGACCCCGCCGAAGCCGCGGAAGCGCGTCAGGACGCCATTATTGATGAAGCCGCACTGCGCCGGTGAGCCGAGCGCTTTATCCAGCAGGTGGTTGATGAAATAGATTCCCGGCTCCACCGTGAGGACCATGCGCTCCTGCACCACACGGCCCATCCGCAGACTCTTCAGCCCCGGCTCGTCAATGCGCTCGATGCCCTGAAACACACCACACACTTCAACCGCTGCTGCATCTGGTTTAATCAGACAGAAGCAGACGTTCCTTCCTTTACAACAGAGACGTCCAAACCACAGCGGGCCAAACATATTTTGTTTACTTTTTTTGCATTGAAATGTAGTTCATTTATTTTTTAAAATGTTTGTAACAGTTAAAAAATTTTTTTTAATTATTTTAAAATGTTCAAAATGTAATACATTTTACTATAATGTAGTTGGATGTTGGATATATTGGTTAGCTGGGCCAGTGTGTGTTGTGATTGGCAGCATTCGGCGCCTGGTCGGGAAACGTCATCCCCTTACCATAGCCGCCTGCGAGCTTCAGAGTAAATATTGCATCAATATCAAATCAATTTGAGCACAATTTAAACCCGGATGATTGTAAACACTCCAAGTTTGTCTGCTTTGGGAAAGCTCCCGGAATCAAATCCCGGAAAATATGCGTTGTAATCCAAACGAGTCATTCGTTGTAGTTTTTGAAAAGTGATTTCTGTTAAATAAAATATCTCCTTTTGAAGTGACCTTTGTAACTTTGCAGATCTTTTTTATGCTCAAACTAAAGTTAAAAAAGTGAAAAAGCATAATAGGACCCCTTTAATTAGCTTGATTTTGGCCCTTAAACATTTGCTTTACAAAGTCAAGAAAAAGTCTTTTGAGATAAACAATTTTGAACACTATGAAAACATAATTTATAGTTTGATATAATATGAAAACAAATGATTGTTTTCTACAATATTAGCACACAAACATTACATTTGTATAGCGCTTTTCAAAATAAACATGGCTTCAGAAATGTTTTCAGAAATGTATAATGTTAATTTTTATTATAATATCTTCATGTTGTCACGAATCCGGTCCATGAACTTCCGTCTGCTAGCCATCAGAGGTCACCCTTTCCATTTTCATTGACTCTCGCACTACACACTGTTGCATATCATCCCGGACTACATATCCCATCATTCATTGCACTGATTTCACACAGCTGTTTCACTAATTGCACACAGCACTGATTGCACACAGCTGTTTCATATTACTCACTCCCTATTTAACACTCACTCTTATCCCTTCCCTCTGCCGAGTATTGTTTAGCGATTATCACTCCCCTAGCGATAGCTACACTACGAAGCCCGTTTAGTTTGTTTTAGCCCCACCTTAGTCTTGCCTTGTCTGTGTTCTCGTTCTTGATCTTCGCCTGTGTCTCTCGGATTCCTCCTCTCGTCTTCCCCCATTTTTGATACTGTTTGCCCCTGCCTGGACCTTGCCTTGTACCTGGACTTATCCCTCTAGTCGCGCTCCTTTTGATTCTGTTTGCTTATCGTTGACCTATGCTAGCCCTAGGACTATTCTTGTGTCTTGCCCGCCCTATACCTATTTGCCACTGTTTGACCCTGCCTGTGTTTCTGACCTCCTCTGATGTGAATCTCAAATCTCAACATACACTACTGTTCAAAGTTTGGAAATTAAGAAATTAATATTTCATTCAGCTGGGATGAATTGTATTGATCAAAAGTGACAGTAAAGACATTCATAATATTTCAAACAAATGCTGTTCTTTTGAACTTTCCACTAATAAAGGAATCCTGAAAAATAAAATGTATAAATTTTCACAAAAATATGAAGCAGCACAGCTGTTTTCAACATTAATCAGAAAGCTTAATTTTCTTGAGCAGCAAATTAGCATATTAGAATGATTTCTGAAGATCATGTGACACTGAAGACTGGAGTAATGATGCTGAAAATACAACTTTGATCACAGCAATAAATTACATCTTACTATAAATTTCACATAGAAAACAGTTATTTGAAATTGCAATAATATTTCAAATTTTTACTGGATTTTTGATCAAATAAATGCAGCCTTGGTGAGCAGAAAGGACTTCTTTCATGTTAGCTAGATGTCAAAACAGAACCAGACCAGCTCCTCCATACTGCGAACATGTCATTTTTTTGTCTCTGTAGTCTGAAAGCAGTTTTGGTTGTAGATTTTGACCGGCTGTGATTCCTCTGTGTTTGTACCTGGTTTAATGGCGGCCATCACGGCTCTGGAGGACTTCAGCACGGCTTCATAAATGGCTCTCTGGTCTGCGGTGAACTTGCCGTTGACTGGGAAAGAGCAGGTGATGTCGGAGGAGTAGCAGTAATACTCACCGCCCATATCAAACAGACTGCCAGGAAAACAATCAGACAGAAAAAGAAGAGTTTTCACAAGAAACGTTCCCACCACACCAGCCTGAGTTCAGATCTAAAGCCACTTCTTCTATGGTTTGGATTTAGTTTTATGATTTGGTGACAACATCAAATACTGAGTATTCCTGCTCTATTCCATTCTATTCTATTCTATTCTTGTTATATTAACATTTAAATGTCTTATTTATTTACTTATATAACATTTTTTACATTGTATTTTATTATTTTTTATTACAGATTTCAACAAACAATTTAACAGAACTCAACGTACAGGATATTACAAAAAAAGTTTCATAGAATACAAAGAGGGGAAAAAATAAAAATACATAGAAAGCATACTTTAAAATATTGTTATAACACAGGAAAAAATAATTATAATACTTGAAAAAAATTATTTCTTATTAATAACTCTTAAGTGTAACACTCAAATTTTGGTAGAAATTCTGCACATCTAGGTATTGCTTTAATTATTCTTTGTATGGATATATAATTTTAAATTACGAAAAAATTTAAAACTTCCAGAGACCTGTTTTGGTTTTTAAAATGATGTTTAAATGATTATTATTATTTTAAACTGTAATATAAAATAGATGACCCTGGATAGATGCTCTGATTATAGTAAATTAGCTGCTACTGTAAATAATTCATGATCTCAAACCTGCTTGCAAAAATGAAAAATGTCTTTCTAGTTCCTGTCCAGCAGGGGTCAGTGTGCGACTGTTCATAAAGAGATGATGCAGCCTGAACTACTGAAGAGAGAAATATACAACACTACACTGACTGAAAAACCAGCAACAATCAACAACTGATACAGAACTAATCTGACTCAAGTAATCAAGAAACAACTCACCACATGTCTCCATCCTGGATGGTTTTGTCATTGGCAGCCCCGGCGTGTCCGTAATGCAGGATGGAGGAGTTATTCCCACTGACCGAAATGTATATGTTAACATACAACCCAAAGAACTCAGTCACAGTGACAAATGCATTAGTGGTACAGTGAAGTTTTGCAATGCTTCTATGTTCAATAGTGGTCACATTAATACTGAACCTCTCATTGGCTTTGTATTTTCAGATATGAAATTACACTTGACTCGCACAAAAAAACTAATTGTGTGACAAAACCTGAAATTTAGGTTATTATTATAACTGATCGTGATGTGCCAGGTTTGAATATGCATGAAAAAGATTTAAGAGGATTTCAATTAGAGTCTGTTCATCACACCCAATCATATGACTGCAAAACACTTGGAAAATAATGCACTACACTGTTATAGTGTGTTTTACACTTTTGCAGGTTAACAAAACATTTTAAAGTGAACTATGCATTTAAGATTGAATCCAAAACACGTCTGTAATGTATTTATTCATCCAGATGTTTGCTGTGATTTAACTTTGTAATCCAAGACGTGCTTTTGCTCTGGAGACAGAATGATATCTGACACTAAGAGCCTCTCGGAGAACACACACACACACACGCTCTCACACACACACACACACGCTCTCACGCTCTCACACACACACACACACACTCTCACACACACACACACACACACACTCTCAC